AATGCTACCGTACTGCGACCAAAGGGAACTGTTACCGTACTGAGAGCAGGGGGAAACGCTACTGAGACCAGGTACCAGCTTTTATCTCGATCCATACAACTGCTCACAATGCGTATTATGATCTGGAAGTAAGATGTTACGCTACACAACATTAAAGATAAACGCATAATTGTGGAAGAACAACAGTCTCCATATGTATTTTACTACCCTTGTATTGTTTGTAATATCTTTAATTTCTCATAGCAATTTTTTTGTGTGGTAAGGATAATATTGTACTTGTATAAAAATCCTGGTGCGTTTTAAAAAAAAACAACAACTTATTTTGTGTCATTTAGTTTTAGTGCCTTTTAATAAAAGCGTGTGCCAAGTTTTGGCTCGAATACGTTGAAGGGAAGTGGGTCAATTAGCTGTCCGAATATTTTGCCAGCCACGAACAAAACGAAGTAAATATAATAAATTTAATAAAAAATATACATCTATATTGCAACAGTTCTGGGACTTTAATTATCGTTTGATAAAATATATCATAATGTATTAAATGTATATAAGATACACTTTACATGCAGTTAAAGATCTATCATGGCCGCGTGCATATTTAATGGAAGATAGGACAGTGAGAGATATGAGAGAAAATGGTGGTGTTTTTGTGCACTAAATATTAACATCTGATCTACTTACCGGTACAAGTAGAACATAAGAAAGGTAAATATTTTATCATCACCCACGTATCTCCAATTTTAGTTTAACTGTAAACATTAAATATATAATTTAAAAAAAATAATCCACATGCATCATTCAATAATAAATCATTCCGTTTTTATATCATATAAAAATATATATTAAAATAATAACATTGAAATAAAACAATTAATTTTTTCTTGATAGTAAAAATAAAAAATAAAACATTACATATGATATATATTATAATATATGAACTAGTTCTTAATGAAAAGAAGGTATTCGAAGAATTATTTTTAAAGAGCAATAATTTCAGACAAAAATAGTTAACAGTACAAGGGAAAAGTAAGTTATGCTCAGGGCCTTTTCGTGTATTAGTTACCCTCTAAAAACAAAGAATCACTATCAGATGGCATGCACATTCACTACGGGGGACTGTATGTACAAACTAATGCCAAGCACTTCAAAAAGTTAGGTGCTGAAATCTGGCTAGATGCCAGAAGTGTCTTTTTTAACCAATGAAATTCAATTATATATATATATATATATATATATATAAGTTTACGCCTTTAACCAACATGGTTTGATAATAATTAAAGATAGGCAAATTAAATTTACAAAATAAAATTCAATATCATGCTATCAGTATAGATATCATGATGTCGCCCCCCCCCCCCCCCCCTCGAGAAGCGCTAAAGAGCCATAGAAGCGTGATGCCCTAAGAGGCATTGATCGTGGGTCTAGGAAAATATTTAATATTTTATAAACATGAATGTTTTATTTGAAAAGGAAAGAAGTTTGGCAAAAGAACTGACAACGTCTGCTACAGTATTATAATCATATCTTATGCTGTGGCGTTGGTCTTAACAATAAAAAATAACAATTTTAACATTCCTTCGCATCAAGAAAATAGCCCCGAAATTTTGTTATCGAGACCACTGTTAGGAGGAGTTGAACGATGAAATACCCGTATGTTTTATATTACATGATTCATACGAACCCAAAGCCCTCACCCCACGACTGTCCTCTACATCAGGGTATTACTATTTCAATCGACAGTCCTCAAATCATGATTTATCCAACTGTTAAATCAAACAATTTTGATTTTTTCCTATTAAAAATTAAACGTCCAACAATATTTTTTATATTTTTTTTGGTTTAAATTTACCAGAAAACCAGAGATCTAGATGGAAACTATTTTTAATTACAGCAAATTATGAAGCGCTACAAATTAATGAAAAATCCGCTCTTAAAAAAAAAAAGATATTTTACCAAGACAGGATTTACAAAGGTTCCCAAACTATCATTTCCACACTTCATGTAAAAATTCCATTTCTGAAAAGAAATCCAAAATCAATTTTTGTTATCGTATTTGTAAAATATGTTATACGTCGTAAGAATTTAGTCAGATGTCACTCTTGGGATATTAACAACAAACTCATATTGTATCTGCTAGTATTTGTCCTGATGTATATGTCATGTGTGCGATACGTGTAAAATAACCCTGAAGCAGCTCTCTCTGCAATTAATTTATGGAATGTGAAATTTCACAACAATTTTAACTTTTCCCTTCCTAAAATGGTTAAAAAAAATAATTGAATTCCTTATACTAAAATTTTAATTTTTTTTTCAATAACATAAAATTACCCGCTGTCTTTATTTAGAGAACCACGGAAATAAGTCGAACTGATGTGACAAATGAACATATTTAAGTTCACGGCGAACTCATTTTCCATGGTGGCATCTCGACGAATTGTCGTGAATGTCTTTATCTAATTTTTTCCTTAAGTACGAATCATGACGTTTTAGTCGGCACGTGTCATTCACACAGATTAAACAAACTGACAGGCGTTTGAGTAAATTAATTTAAAGGGTTAATTTTTGTCTAAATGGTGTTAAGTGTGTGTGTGTGTGAGGGGGGGGGGGGGTTAACCGTGGGGTGCCATGGGGGGTAATTTTTTTTTAATTGAACTTAAAAAGGGAGCCAAGAAAAATAAATTTTTTCCTTCAGTACGAATCATGAGGTTTTAGTGGGCACGTGTCATTAACACAGATTAAACAAACTGACAGGCGTTTGAGTAAATTAATTTAAAGGGTTAATTTTTGTCTAAATGGTGTTAAGTGTGTGTGTGTGTGAGGGGGGGGGGGGTTAACCGTGAGGTGCCATGGGAGGTAATTTTTATTTAATTGAACTTAAAAAGGGAGCCAAGAAAAATAAGAGACGCGTGACTCTTTCAGAAATCGAAAATGATCTGTGACACTTTCGAGACATTTTCTTTACGGAGAGTGTGTCTCTATTTAGGTATGTATTCTAACTATTTTAATAGTTATAAATGTTCCGATATTAAAATGTAATGTTTTTTAGTTGTTCCATGTAGTTGGTTAAATAAAAACTGAAATTCTCTCCCCACCCCCAAACCAATTTCCTGATAAAAGTGAATTAACATGAATACAGTTTACAAATCCCATTTGAAATAGATACCATATAAGTACACTACTGCCGATCATCACCACTGGAGTTTTCCCCCCTTCACTAAAAAAAAGTCAATCCGCTTCACTTAGTCGGTTTGTTGATGTGATCAGTGGCAGAGAAACTGATGCGCAGCAAGCTCTGGTTAGCAACTGTAAGACAATAAAATTGAAAATAAATTTCTACTATTCAAACAGAATAAAATCTAAATGGGCGGATGCCACACATGTATAGTTATACGAATTTTGACCATCAAGTAGAGAGGGTGGCCAGAAGTTAGTGTGGGTGCCAGCAGGTAGCGAAAATGTCCAGCAGTAGAGAGGGTGTCTAAGCGGTAGAAAGGGTGTCCAGGAGGAATTAAAGGTGGCCAGCAGGAAGAGAGGGTGTCCAGAAGGTAGAGAGGGTGGCCAGCAGGGAGTGAAGGGGGCCGGCAGATAGTAAAAGTGTCTACGATATAGAGATGGTGTGTAGGAGGTATAGAGGGTGTCCAGGAGGTAGAAAGTATGTCCAGGAGGTAGAGAGGGTGTCCAGGTTATAGAGAGGGTTTTTAGGAGGTAGTGAGGGTGTCTAGGAGGTAGTGAAGGGGAAAGCAGGTAGCGAGAGTGCCCAGGAGGTAGTGTGAGTGTCTAGGAGGTAGAGAGGGTTCCAGGAGGTAGAGAGCGTGTCCAGGAGGTAGATAGGGGGAAACAGTTTTTAAACGCATGTATACTAACAATATAGTTTTGTGGAGTTCCATCTGTTATTGTCCTGTCTTTTCATTTCAAGCTTTAACATACCTTGTGCCATAATTTTCTACACACCGCTTCGAGTCCTTCATTCATTTTACCACCTTTTACAATCGACGCCAAAGTATGTGCATTTGATTTTTTTAAAAATGGTATATCATGGAACTCGGAGAATTAAAAATAAAAGTATAATGACAATTTCAGATAATATTATTAAAATCTCCTTCCTTTTATTTTTAAATACAGCGAATCAACTATAGAAAAAACTGATTTGTTAAAACTCCAATTTTTTGCATCGTGATATTCCGTTATACGTTAATCCACATGTTTCCTTTTTTTAACTTGGACACTGGACTGATAGGTTTTGTTGAGGTGAAACCTGGTGATCGGGTAAGAGATTAGATATTCGCAACAGTTTAAATATAATCTTTGATAAACTGGAACACACCACCACTTTACCATTGAAAGAAAAACAAATTCATTATGAAATTGCTCAAAAGTTACTATAACAAGCTATTGGCTAGAAAGTCAAAGGTATACTTCTATATATTTAACTATGATTAATAGGGGTAGATATAACAATTCTCCTGCTGAAATTTGTTATCATGTAATTTAGGGCGTAACTGCAGGCAATCTATTTGAGATAATTGATTTTTTTCCAAAGAAATATATATAAAAAAATGTATTTGAATGAGTTAAATGTATTGGAATATGTATATATTTTAATGTTTTAATATATTGTGTTCAAAAAAAGGTAGGTATTTTTCGATAAATCCTATACAAACAGCTTTAAAAAATCTTGGAACAAAATTTTATGCTTTAGAAAATTTTGTAACACATGTCCAATTTCAGCTTTCTTGCCTGCATTAACCTTGGGAATCATCAAATGATCGCATGAGAACCAGTGTAACAATCATCTTTGAAGTGATTTTTGCTGGGGATTCCTTTATTATAAATGAACTTTTCGTAAAATTAAAAACACATTATAAATCGTTGCCATGGCCAACTTTTCCTCTGTGTCTGGTGGCTTAAGTGTTGGGGTCATCCTCATGACGTCCCAGGGCCCGAGTTCACCGACCAACACAATATCAGCAAGCACAACTTTGAATAGCCGTGTTTTGATCATCATGAATCGCTACGTGTTCCCTGCCGCATGCGGCCTGGGCTTGATCGGCAACGTCCTCAGTCTCGGGATCCTCCTGCGCACCCGACTCAAGAAGTCGTCCTATATTTTCCTGTTCGCGCTGACATTTTCTGACAGCTGGGCTTTGTTTTACCGGCTAGACTTCACGAGGCTGCTCATATACTACGGTTCCGGGGTCGCGTCTGTCGGGTGGGCGTTTTCTGAAGAGGGGGCCTATGCTCTTTACGTCATCAACAGAATAATAGAATTCCTTTCAAATCTCGGCGCCTACTGTTCGACAACGCTTCCCGTCGTCATCATGGTGGAGCGGTGCGTGGCCGTTTTTTTCCCGTTAAAATTTAACCGTCTGGTAACGGCGAAGAGGGCTTGGATAGTCGTGTTTTGTGTTTATTTATTCTGGCTGCCATGGTGTTTCAACGCTGTATTTTTCACAAAGTTCTATTACTTGCGCTTAAGCGGCATCAACGTAGGTTTGCCAATCTTATCCTCATACTATTTAACCAATTTAAAGATTATAGAAATCTGCAACACATATTTCTTCGCGTCTCTGGCATCCTGGGTCCCTGTTTGTCTCGTCGTCATTGGAGCGGTAGTTCTTGGAATTAAGATAAAAGTTTCACAGCGAAAACGCCAGGAGCTTCTGTCTTCGATTTCCACAGCATCACAGGCTACGCATAGAACGACTCGGACACTGGTCAGTGTGTCCATAGTTTTTGCAATCTTGTATGGATATGGATTCGTGACCGTCCTTGTTGTGCCAATTGAAGCGAGCAACGGCTTGCTTGGAATCATTACGACACAGACGCGCTTCTTGGCAACCTACCTTAACAGCTCGATCAATTTCTTCATTTACGTTGCCACGAACAATAAGTTCAGGAAGTACTTCCTTGAAAATTTGTCGTGGTTGCGCAGCTGCAGATAAATGTTACGGTGTGAAATGGTGTATGGACATCAGAGCATTTTACACATCCGGACTACATCAACTACGCTATTTGCTTTATTTTAAAATTCTATATATCATTTTAGAATATGAGTGAAAAGACTGGGGAAAACTTTAAAAAAAAAAGAACGCAACAAAATAACATATGTGTCGGCGAGTAGCCTTCGTCGGGGAACAAACAGCAGTAAAAACAGAATAAAAAAAAAAAATATCACTTAGCTGAAAAGTTTTGTGCAGGACACACATATCGATAAATATAGAACTATCTTGTGCATGGCATGATGTTATTTTTTTTTAGGAATTCCTTAAACAATTTTTTTCGTTAATGATGTGAAATCCCTTATCTTCATTTGTCATCAATATATTATGGTATCCAGGCAACGCAAAAATATAATCATTGTCTTAAGTTGACGCGAAATGAAATAAAAACGTGTCATCTTTAAATACAAACCTGCTATGCCCAAAATTCGATACGATCACATTAATTATTTTAAATGTAAAATTTAGTATGCGTGTGTGACATTAAAAAAAAATTAACATGTGCAAATCTCAGAAAAGGAAAGCACTAAAATGTGTTAGTTTGAATTATCTATATATATATTATTTTAGAAAAAGCAAATTGATTATTAAAAAAAATGGACCTAAAATTTATTTTAAAAAAATTATATATATATATATATATTTGATGGGGTTTCTCTTTTAAAAGTCTCATCCAATTTTTCATACGAGAAATGCATTATCGTTTATTTATTTCCAAGAATGTCAGTAATTGACGCAATTTTTAGATTTTATGTACTAGAACGTTAAGATATAATACCTTTATAAAGACCGCCAGGTTTCTTAGCACATATACCCACGAAGACTTATTGAGAGATAAACATTAGCGAGACTCATAGATAGAAATACGAGACGTTTATATTATTTTGTTTATCAATTAATATTTCGATAATGAGGATAGTTAATTTTACCTTTTTAAAAAAACTGAACTTTGTATTTGTTTATCCTGATCTGATTGAAATAAATTTTAGTATCACTCACTTTGGTATCATTTTTTCTTTGCATACTGTATACATTAAGTATTTTGTTACGTATTTTTTCGCCTACTACCCAACTAATAACAAAGATTTAATTTTTGTAACAACAAAGGTTCGTAATTTTGCATTATATTGTTATAGTGCAAGAACCTGTATGTACCTCTTGGTCCCAAGCTATGTCAGTTCCGGATTGTCCACACTCTCACCAATACGAGACAAGCCAATGACTCGCAGAGAACGTCAACGGAGTGATGATTATCTGATAATTATGTTTAAAGTTGTTTTTTTAGCAACTCCTCCACCCCTCTCCCCCAATGTACTACTATACCAGCGTAATCCCTCCAATGTCTGCCCTCAGAGGAATCTTTGCCGCGTTGGGGGTATCTTTACCTTTGTGGTATCTTTGTCTTGTGGGTACTGTTGCCTTGTGGGTTTCTTGAACTTATGGGTATATTGGCCTTGTGAGTATCTTAGTCTTGTGAGTATCTTAGCCTTGTGAGTATCTTAGTCTTGTGGATAAATTTGATAGTGAGTATCTTTGTGTTGTGGTAATCTTTGTCATGTGCGAATCTTGGCCTTGTGAGTGTCTTTGGCTTGTGGATATCTTGGCCTTGTGGGTATTGTTGTCTTGTGGGTATTTTTGTCTTGTGCGTATCTTGGCCTTGTAGATATCTTGGCCTTGTGGGTAAAGTTGTCTTCGGGGTATCTTGGCCTTGTGGATATCTTGGCCTTGTGAGTCTCATACTATTGTACCAATATTCCCTGCTTAAACTAGGCACAAATAATCGAGATATCAATAGCCATCTCAACACATTTGGTACCTTGAAGTGAGAGGATGCTCAAGTTGATTAAAGCTAACAGGCCAAGAACATTTTAAGCACGAAAAAAATCATTAAAAAAAAATACTTTGACAAAGAAAATTATTTAAGCTTCTTCTACATTTAATTGTAATCTTTTGGCTTTAGAGAGAGCATTGTTACCCTTCTGTATTAACTTTATGTCATGACGAATTTTAAGAAAATTATTTCCTATTTATAGAGCGTTTGAAATATTTATTAAAAGAAAAAACATTCTGACATTAGTTTCGTTTTGATCGTTTGTTTATGTGTTTAAGGCAAAAATCTTCCGAAGGCTAATTGACTCACTTCCCGTCATCCTATCGAACTGAAATTGGGCAAAGTTTCACCCCAACCCCCGAAAATCAGTTTTTCCTTTTTTTTTCCCAAAGGAAAGATTAATGAAATATGATTCGTTCAATGTTTGCATATTTTGGTGTGAAGATTTATTGTGTAGCTGTTGTTATGTGCTTTGTATTTGTGACGTATTTTGGTATGCAGTACAGCAAAAATTATTTTAAAGAACCTTGTTTTTAGAGGCTGTTTAATTAAATATATATTTTTTAAATTCTAACTTTGTGTGTGGGTGGGTGTATGTGTTAAGATGGAAACCGCGAACTTCGGTCAGTAAACGAATTGGCTGGCCAACGTTTGAAATGGTTGAAAAATGTGGCTTAGGACCGATGTGCTTGAACTGAACAGTGTATATACTACCTTAGCCGGCTACTTTGTGAAGTGTCGTGAAATCTCTGGCCAAAATTAAATGTTCTGACGTAATACTATCGCACAGTTGTCTTGTGGGAAGAGAACACGTTCTTAGAACGCTTGGTCCAGTGGTGTACTTTTCCATTCTGCTCGTAAAACTGATCAATCTAAATCCGTAGGAATAAAAGATAAATTACTATTAACCTGGCTGATTGCTTCGTACTTACTCACAAAATGGAGATTCCTGTTGAAATGTAGCCCTAAAGCAGTAATAGCATAAAATGGCACAAGAGACGCAGCCGCTCTTCAAACATCACTTTTGAGTTAAATAACGTAGTACTAGTTGGCAACGTCACATACCCTGGCTCCAAATTCTCAAGCTCACCCTACAATGACGAAGAGGTGAGCATCCGGTTCGTAAAAGAAGAAGCTGCGATGGCAAGATTAAAATAAACCGGTGTGGTCAAATTTGAAACTCACCGAAGTAAGAACAAAGCAAAGCGTCAATCAGGCATTTGTGCACAGCACGCTCCTCTATGGCAGTACACTATGGACCAAATTGCCCTGTTACGGCCGGCAAAGCAAACTTCTAAGATGCCTTGCTGACCGCTTTGCGCATTTGATAATAATAATAATAATAATAAAGTTCATTTCAAAAACACGCTTCATCCCCAAAGGCTCGAAGCGCGGTACAAAGTCAACAAAAAACATATCTATAATTTACCACATTTAAAACAAACGCAACACTACAAAAACGAATTACAAGCATACAATCTCAAAGTCTTTCTAGCCATTTCAACCCGGAGAAACACAGCCATTATACATGACCTATTTCCCTATCCAAGGTGTTTAGACGTAATCTTCATCAGCATTAAAGATTTATGTAAGTTCTTTGGAAAAACCTAGTCCCGCCCAACCCCCAACCTTTATTTTTAAAAGACGGACATAGAAAAAGTCGCAATTAATAAATAGCTAAAGAAGTTAATTTTTTAAACTATTTAAAGACATGTATTTGTAATAAATTTTATTATTTGAATTTGGTTGTTCAAAATTATAATATAAAAAAAATGAGCGTAAATAAAATATAAAATAAAATAAAGCATTAAAAATTTTTATGAAAGCACTCTTTCATTTAATTTTTCATATGTACGTATACTTAAAAATGTCTAAATTTGTATTCATAAAATGTCAGAACATATACTTAGGGCTCCCTAAATTAAAGAGTTGCCCAAGAAATAAGATTGACACAAGAAGAAAATTTTAAAAAAATTAGAAAATTATTTTACAGACATCTAAAAAAAGAAAGATGATATTCAGATGATACTAGGACAACTTTTACCACTCTTATATTATATACTTCCATCCTTCCATTTCCGTCACATAAAAAAAAACCATATACAGACGAATTTTTACAAAGATAATGTCATACATTGCGTCAGGTATGACATGATAACATTTGGATCTTGTAAGGTTACGATGTCATCAAACAGTGAGAGCTACAACCTAGTACTCAGAAAGTCTTAACGCATCGACCGTATCGTTAAAATCTTACGAAAGGCAGGAAGATTATTCGTTTGATGGCTATTGAGGATAATTTCACATAAAATAAAATCCTAAACTCTCCAACCTTTAGAGCTAAACAAGATGGCGGCCTAAAGTGATATATTGAAAAACATGACGACAATTTTAAGGATTGCCAGAGTCCGAGATGACACCGTTTGTGAATTTTACAAGGATTGGTGCTAGAGTCGTAAGGAATAATTGATTTGCTGGGAGTCCCAAGAGGAAAGCCCTCGTACCGTAAGATAAATGGCACTTTTAATAATATTTATATAAATGTCAAAATAATCAAACATGAATCAAGTGCCAGCCAGGATCCTGTGGGGGTATTGAAACAAGAAGGAAGGAATGCAGAAATGATTGAAATTTGAGATGATTTAAGTAAGGCTTGGAAATGGAATAATGAGGGTGGGGGAGAAGTTGGGGGGTGGAGAAGTGGGGGGGGGGGTGGGGGTAGGAATTGTATTTCACATTGTTTTTTAAATAAGCGTATTTTTCATATTAAGTTTAAAAACAAAATAAAAAGTTTGGAAGCTTGTGTGACCTCTTTTAATGCGATACCTTTATATTACTCGGGTGGCAGACGTTGATTCTCTTGGTAAAATTGTTAGCAAATAATTCTTCTTTAATAGGAAGTACGTCAGTCTGGGTACGTTTGTATGGTACGTCTGTCTTGGTACGTTTGTCTTGGTATGTCTGTCTTGTGTATACATGTTAAAATTTAACTAAGACAAACGGGTCGATTTTACATAGTTTTATGATAAGCAGCTGATGGTCTAGTATACGATTTTACATAGTTTTATGATAAGCAGCTGATGGTCTAGTATAAGATTTTACATAGTTTTATGATAAGCAGCTGATGGTCTAGTATACGATTTTACATAGTTTTATGATAAGCAGCTGATGGTCTAGTATAAGATTTTACATAGTTTTATGATAAGCAGCTGATGGTCTAGTATACGATTTTACATAGTTTTATGATAAGCAGCTGATGGTCTAGTATAAGATTTTACATAGTTTTATGATAAGCAGCTGATGGTCTAGTATAAGATTTTACATAGTTTTATGATAAGCAGCTGATGGTCTAGTATAAGATTTTACATAGTTTTATGATAAGCAGCTGATGGTCTAGTATAAGATTTTACATAGTTTTATGATAAGCAGCTGCTGGTCTAGCTTAAGATTTTACATAGTCTTATCATAAATAGCTGATTGTCTTGCATACGATTTTACATAATTTTATGATAAGCAGATGATTGTCTTGCATCAGATGTTACATAGTTTTACCAAAATCAGCTTATTGTTATAAATTAGATGTTACATTATGGTATGAAAGTTTTGCGCTTATGACAGTTTCCACTTAGACCACACCATAATACCTTTGTACAATAGTTCTGTTTGTGTAATTCTCCAAGCTCGACTACGTTAGATGAGATGCACATCATGTTTCAAAATACACTAATCTGGATTAGGTTTATTTATTGTTTATTTTTACATTTAAAACTGGATTAAGCTGGCGGATAGAAATGATTAACCTAGAAATCCATGAGATTTATTATTTCAGTGATTAAGTAACTAAATAATTCAATTAAAAAGAAACAAAATTAAAAAGAAATAAGACTTATATTAGGATAAAAAGAAACGAATTTAAGAAGTAAATGCTGTGACAAGGTTTTGTTTCATAACGTAAAGTTGGTATAAAATATGAATCAAAATGTTTATAGCAATAAAATATCTTGTTTATAAAAAAAAATTGAAAAAATAAAAAATTCTATAAGTAAAATTATATATTTTTCTCTTCTGAGGTAACAGGACAATTGGAGCCCTTGTGTTTTATAAGCTTAGTATATAAAACCTATAATAATAATATTCCCACATTCCCCACGTACCAACTTCATCAGGGTGGGCGCTTCAATGCCTCTCATCAACCAGGGTTTTATATAAAGCACAAGTTCGGGAAGACAGGACGCGCCGAATACCGGAATGGAGATGAACTCAACGACCCGCGGTGCCAACAACAGCAACATCAACAACAAGACTGCGCTGGGCAATGGCACGTCGGCTGGCGAATCGGCGTTTCTAGTCGACCTCTCGAGCTTTGCGAACATCATGGCCCTGTTTGTGAACCCGACCGTGAGCGGCCTGGGCCTGATCGGAAACTTGCTCAGCCTCTCCGTCCTTCTGTGCACCGGCCTCAAGAAGTCGTCCTACGTACTACTGTTCGCACTCACTGTCTCTGACACTTGTTGGCTGTTGTACGCTCTGAACACATCGAGGCTTCTCTTCCTGTACGGATCCAGGCTCGGTTGGATAGGCTGGGAATTTCCGCAAGAGATCGCTTATGGGTTTTTCGTCATGAATCAAGTCATAGAATTCATCGCGAATCTCGGAGGCTACAGCTCAACAACGCTTCCAGTCGTCATTATGGGCGAGCGGTGCCTGGCCGTGTTCTACCCGTTAAAATTTAACCGCCTCGTAACGGCGAAAAGGGCCTGGATCGTCGTGCTGTGTGTTTACCTGTTCTGGCTGCCGTGGTGTCTGAACTCGGCGTTCCTCTACTCATTTAACTACTTCCGCTACAGAGGTGTTAGTTTTGGTTGGACGTACTTTTCGCCCTACTACATCATGAATAAGAACACCATAGACCTGCTGGATCAGTACGTTTTCTCGACCCTGGCGTCCTGGGTGCCCGTCATCCTGGTCATCACCGGAGCGGTAGTCCTCGGGGTAAAGATCAAAATCTCCCACCGGAAACGCCAGGGTCTTCTGTCGTGCACTTCCGCCGAGCCCCGGGCCATGTCGACGAGGACGACCCGAACACTGGTCAGCGTTTCCGTGGTTTTCGCAGTCCTCTACGGGTATGGGGTTTTGACCCTCCTCGTTAAGTTAAAGGGCATTTATGTCTTTTTAGAAGAAATTTTAAGTCAGTCTCGATATCTCGTGGTCAATATCAACAGCTCGCTGAATTTTGTCATTTACCTTCTGATGAACGGAAAGTTTCGTAAACAACTTAAGCTTATTTTAACGTCAGTGCGCGGGTTTTTCTCGAAGAGTTAAATTTAATACTTATTTCATATCAAAAACAAAAGTAAATTAAAAAAATTCAAAATCAAAGAGTCTCCCTCAAATTTCATTCAAAATGAAAACAAGTAAAAAGGTAAGAAAAAGCCCCAAAAAAATATTGAATTGCATACAGAATCAACTAACTCACACAAAAAATCCACACAACACCAAAAAAAAAAAAAAACAACCCCAAAAGAAACAAGCACATACATAAAATACGAAAAAAAAAATTTGAGTCATAAATATATTAGATGCTATAGGTTGACTTAGATACATATATATACATGTTTTTTGCAGCAAATCATTTATGGCACTAAATCCACATTCAGCTAAATATGAAGATGGAAACGGTAACAATAGTTTTCTTGCATTTTTTTTTTAAATTTTGATTTCTTTTTCATTATAAAGCCATGTCATGGCTCTTTTTTACATTAAATAACGTTTGAACAGACTTATTATTTTGAATGTCTGGGAGTTGTTCTTGATGCTGCATATTTCAAGTATCAGAGAAATCCACTAACATTGACTGCATCATCCAAGTTGGAAGATCTATTTGTTTTCCAATCAGAAAATCTTTGTTTTAAATCAGCCGATAGAATTTTCTGAAGACGAACACAACAAGTCTAATGGTATCAGGCGCTGAAGACGAACACAACAAGTCTAATGGTATCATGACGAACACAACAAGTCTAATGGTATCAGGCGCTGAAGACGAACACAACAAGTATAATGGTATCAGGCGCTGAAGACGAACACAACAAGTATAATGGTATCAGGCGCTGAAGACGAACACAACAAGTCTAATGGTATCAGGCGCTGAAGACGAACACAACAAGTCTAATGGTATCATGACGAACACAACAAGTCTAATGGTATCAGGCGCTGAAGACGAACACAACAAGTCTAATGGTATCATGACGAACACAACAAGTCTAATGGTATCATGACGAACACAACAAGTCTAATGGTATCATGACGAACACAACAAGTCTAATGGTATCATGACGAACACAACAAGTCTAATGGTATCATGACGAACACAACAAGTCTAATGGTATCATGACGAACACAACAAGTCTAATGGTATCATGACGAACACAACAAGTCTAATGGTATCATGACGAACACAACAAGTCTAATGGTATCATGACGAACACAACAAGTCTTATGGTATCAGGCGCTTAAAATTTTTGGAGCCAAAGAAACTTTTCACAATTTTTGTTATAAATATTTTTTAAACATAAATCAATAAAGGTACTGCAACCGAATATCTTCACTTTTGCATCGACAAGCGTTTTATTTTTTCCTTGAAGTTGGTTATTTAATAAATTTAGTATTTCAAAGACACCGGCTAAATAACTCACACATGTTTTACTATCGACCGTTAACAGATCATTCATTTCAGGTTTGTCACTCTAAAGAATATCAAATAGTTCCATACATTTTTTCAAACAATTCTCTTTTGAAAGCCATCTTACTTCAGCGTGATGTAAAAGTCTCACACAGTCTGCATTTTGTCTTTCAAAGAATAGATGGAAGAGACGTTCACATTTGGCATTATCACTGATACACTTTAGAACTGAACTTAGTACTTCATTTAGAACAGACAAAATGTTTTTGGCTAGAAAGTTTTCCTTAGAAATAACATAATGCACCAGCAGCATTTCTTAATGCTCATCTTTCATAAATTTTAATCACCCATTTATTTCCAACTGAGACTATTGGCTACTTTTAAAATCAACAGATTTTTACGACACATTTAACGAACGCTTATTTTCAATTGATACCTAAACGATTCTCATTTTAAAATATCAGTTAAATCATAGTAGACGGTTGGTTTTCAAATTCTATTTAGCTCATTTTAGAATTGCCCCAATAAAAATCAAATTGCCCCCCCCCCTGAGGGGCTTGGGCCCCTCGGTGGGAAACACCAATGTAAGGCATTAAAGACGGTCGATGCGTTGAAGACTTGTCGTTTTGTCACCTTGTCGTTTTGTTACCTTGTCATTTTGTCACCTTGTCATTTTTTCACAATGTCGTTTTGTTACCTTGTCATTTTTTCACCTTGTCATTTTTTCACCTTGTCGTTTCGTCACCTTGTCATTTTTCATTGTGTTGTTTTGTCACCTTTTCGTTTTGTCACCTACTCTTTTTGTCCTTTGTCGTTTTGTCACCTTGTTTTTTTCCACCTTGTCATTTTTTCACCTAGTCGTTTTGTCTCCTTGTCTTTTTGTCACCTAGTCGTTTTGTCCTTTGTCGTTTTGTCACCTTGTCGTTTTGTCCTTTGTCGTTTTGTCACCTTGTTGTTTTGCCATCTTGTCATTTTTTCACCTAGTCGTTTTGTCTCCTTGTCTTTTTGTCACCTAGTCGTTTTGTCCTTTGTCGTTTTGTCACCTTGTCGTTTTGTCACATTGTCGTTTTATCACCTTGTTGTGTTTTCACATTGTCGTTTTGTCACATAGTCGTTTTGTCATTTGTCGTTTTGTCACCTTGTCGTTTTGTCACATTTTTGTTTTCTCAACTTGTCATTTTTTCAGCTTGTCGTTTTGTCAACTTGTCGTTTTGCCCTTTGTCATTTTGTCAGCTTGTTATTTTTCCACTTTGTCGTTTTGTCACCTTGTCGTTTTGTCCTTTGTCGTTTTTTTATCTTGTCGTTTTGTCATTTGTCGTTTTGTCATTTTTCGTTTTGTCCTTTTTCATTTTGTCATTTGTCGTTTTGGGTAAAACTTGAGTTAATGGTTTGGAGTTTGGCAAAAGTTTTCTCACCCTATGTGCAGTTACGTCACATTGGGGAATCTCAACCCTGGACTTGGAGTGAATAGATCTATTCTTTGAAGGACCCGAACGATGAGTTCTAACATTCTTGTTCTTTATTGAGAGTTACTCGCTTCACAAACGGCACGATTAATAATATGACGTATATTGAAATGACATTTTCCATTAATTTGTGTTAAAATTCAATTAGCACGTTTCAAAAGAAAGGAAAAAAAGAAACACATCCTTGCTGATACCCCAAGACCCGACACCAGTGGAAAAAAAAACGCCCGCCAAAATTGCTGTAACAAATAGTTGAATCAAAATACCAGTATGTGGAAACTTTGGTAACAAAAGGAAGACTATTTATTATTACATTGCATTTGAAATGATCTTCTAGGAACCGGGGAAGGGAGAACCCTCCTAAATATCCCCCCCCCCCCCCCGCTAAAAAACCAAAAAAAGAAATATAGAAACTCTCTAGGGGAGGTGGGGGGGGGGAAGCCCTCCCCCAATACCCCTCAATAACTTAACAAAAAATTTAAAATAAGAATTAAGAAAATAATAACTTGCACCTTGCATTATGTAAATACAAACATTGAAATCTTTTTAGTAGGGCACTGTAGACGGTGCTGTAGACGGAAATGAACGTGGGGGAACCTCCGTGACCTATATACCGTGGAGCACATCGCCGGCCTTACCGCTAACTCAAGAGCAGCCGATATGACTATTGTAAAAAAAAAGTTCACTAATGAATAAACTTTACTATTGTAAGATAAATTTCACCAATGAAAAACATCATTATTGCTAGAAATATATCACCAACATCACTACTACAAATTATCAGGTATAAGAGGAATTTCGGATATTCTTGTGTGTTATATATAGACTATAACAGCGTAGGGCTTGTTTTAAAACTGCAACACCTAGTTATTTTTAGCCATCACCTTTAGATTGTCTCATTGGCTTGATCTTGAATTCGACGTCAATGAGTGAATGGTTGTCACTTTTTTCCCTGCCCACCCCCCTGTGCTTGCTTGAAAAAGACTTTGCTTACTTTCGAAAGTGTTCCATTTGTTATTAAGAATCCAGTAGGTGACGCAATTTCTAGATGTTCTTTACTAGAACGTTCGGATTAAGTACATTTATAAAGAGCGTCAGGTTCCTTAGCACATGGACCTAACAAGACTTATTGAGAGGTAAACTTAGCGAGACTTATAGATAGACATAAAAGAAATGTATATTATTTTGTTAATAAATTAATTTTTCCATTTTGAGGATTGTTAATGTTTCCTTTATTAAAAAAAAACAAAAAACTCAAATTTGTAATTGTTTATAAATTAATTTATGTAATTAAAATTAATTTTAATATCTTTATCTTTGATATCATATTTTTTGCATGCGGTTACATCAATTTTTGTTACGTATTATTTTGTCTGCTACACAACTATTCACACAGATTTAATCTTTGTAACAATAATGGTATGTACTATTGCATTATATTGCAATAGTGCAAGAACCTGGATGTACCTCGCAGTCACAAGCTTTGTCAGTTCCGGAATGTCCACACTTCTTCAAATAAGAGACAAGCGAATCAGTCACGTCTTAAGGCATGGGCACAGTGGGCACTTGCCCAGGGACCCGCGTTTCTGGAGGACCCCCTTGCTTCTATGAGACTCGCTCTTAATAAGGCATTATTCTTGCAATTATTGTTAATGAATATTGAGAAGTTTTGGCTATTAAATTTGATTTAAAAATCAGTGGACAGCATGTTTCCCAATTTTAACCCACGATTTTATCGGCACGTTCCAAAATCAATGCGAATCGTAAGTTGAATACTTTGTAAATGTTTAAAAGGGAATAACTCTAGTCAACAATTTTTACTTCTCCCAGATATTAACCGAACATTAATAAAGTTATAGCATTTGTTCACAATCACGTTAGACAAAGATGTCGGCCCCGGGCGGTAATAACCCTAGAAACGCCACTGCTCCGTAGTGAAATAAGTGGATAAAAATCTATCATAGCACCATTTCAAGTAATACTGAATTTAATTAGCATGATATTAGGAATATGTAGGTCACCAATAAATAATACTTTTTAAATTTAAATTTATTTAAAAAAAAACAAAAAAAATAAAATTTATATTTTTTAAAACAGAAAAATATTTTTTATTCTGTGTCTGA